CTTAAAAGGGAAACGCAGCTGCTCTTAAAGGGGAAACGCCGGATCCTGCATTTAAAAGGGAAACGCAGGCTCCTTTAAGTGCAGGGAACTGCCATTTGTGGAGATCTGATGTGCAGGCGGCGGCGGGGGGGGGGCGGCAGACATCCCCAATGTGACGTCATCACGTCGGGGATGCCCCGCCCCCTCCAGGAACGCCCCCAAACTCCCCTGCTGGGGGTGGAAGATGGACTTGGCAACCCTAACCTAAATCTAGCCCTCAAACCATTAAACGGCACTAGCTGTCTAGCACGAAGGGATGTTGCCCTTCCCCATGTGTGGCCCCAAGCCCTCTCTTCCCCCTCACTCCCCCTTGCCTGGAGGTGGGGAGGGGCCTGGGAACTCTCTGCCCCTCAAAACCTGGAACTGGCCGTGCTTCATGCGTTCCATGTGTGTGTGTGTGGGGGGGGGAATCCCCATGTGAGAACCACCAAGGGCACTCTTGCTTTGTGCAGAGTAGGGTAACCTTAGCAAACTGTAGGCATGTGCTAGTGGGAAGTTGTCCTGCACAAGTCCCATTGGAATGGCGTTACTCAAGAGCTCGACTGCCAAGTGGTCCAGTTCAGCTCTGTGATTCTCTCTAGCCCTGACTCAGACTCCCCCCCGGCTACCAAGCCTTCAAATCAATCAGGGCTGTGCACGTTCACCTCCCGCACCCACCCCCAACTCACTGGCGCATCTGGCCAAACAGACGGTGAGCTGATGTGACGGGGATGGGTGCTGGGCGGGATCCCCAGGCGCCTCGTTTGCCTGTTTGCCATCATCCCAAACATCTGGGCCTGCGCGTTGAGTGGCAGCATCATAAAAACACCTACGGTGTTCTCGCGCTTTGGCGTTCCAGCTGGTGCTGGAGGGGGAGGTGCAACCTGGGGCAGGATGAGAACCTAGTGAGTCCACAGGGGGCTGTTTGTTTTGGAAATTGCCGAATTAATGTCAGCACGCAACCTGTGTCCTGTTGTGCGAGCTTCAGTCACTAGGACAGCGAGGGGGGGGGAGAATGCATTTCAGAAAACAGATCCTTTGTTAACACTGCATGAGCCGGACCACAAGACAGGGGGTACGAGGGCAATCTGCAACTCTTTTCCACTTTGCTCTGCAAAGAGATCCGATTGCAGGCAGAGGGTTGGATCCCGCAGGACTATTCCACTAACAGAGGCACTTTCCTTTACTGGAAAGAGCCTTCCACCAGAAAAAAGCGCCTCTGCTAGCAAAACGGATCCGTGGAACCCAGCCCCTTCTTTGGGGGCTGTATTAATTTTCTTAAGTGATGTCTTTATACTATTATTCAAAGGTAGCACAAGCTAGAAAAATGGGGAAGAAACAACCCCTGGAAAATCCCATTTTTGCACCACCTTTTTGGTGACTGACCATCTAAATGAAAGTACAGCCATCTTCTAAAGTACCAAGAGGTGGATTGTGTTCCAAATTCACTGCAGGCGCACTGTTCACCTGAGAATAAACTGGAGACAGTAGAGGTGTGACTAAGATTGCAATCCTAAGCAGAGCTACACCGTTCTAAGTCCACTGCAGTGAGCTAAGAAGAATGTAAGGAAGCACTGTAAAACACCTGAAGTTCTGAGGCCCCGGTCACACGGGCCGGAAAATGCGGGGGGGAGGTGTAGCTGTTTGCCCCGGAGCAAAGTAACGCGCGGCAGCCCGATCACATGTCCCGTGGAGGTCCCGTGGGTATGCTGTTAGGTGCTGATCACACGGCTATCCTGCAGCGCGGCGCGATCACACTGGCAATCACTAGGCGCCGCTTCTGTGGCAAACGGGAATTTTTTCCCCTCACCACAGTGTGCGCATGTGCCGGTGGGCGTTTGTGCACATCCTGTGGAGACTTAAAAAAACAAAACATCCAGTTTGGGATGGGACATGGGCGGGCGCCGGATGCCACGGGATTCCAGCGGAAACGCGATCAGACGCCTGCCCTTGCCCCGCATTTTCCAGAAACTAGTACATCATATGTGGTAGTTTTTTATTCCGCATCTTCAGCGGGAAGCCACAGGTTAGCCACGGGTGAACTATGCTTCCCAGATGTCGCGGTGTGATCGCGCCCGGAAAATCCGCCTATCATCCATATCTTTAGCGTAGCAAGTGCTCTGGTGAACGGGCCTGAGAATTAGGGATGGTGAGAACTTTGATGTAAACATGATCTGCTTGCATTAATCAAACCCCTCTGTTACGTGTGGTTTGAGGCGCTTGTTGGATCACCTTTATATTGATATTTGATGTCTGGCTCAAACAAAACGGCAAACAGCTTTGCAGCTGTGCAGCGCTGTGGGTTCATAGCTCACCTGTACCATTTCTTTTAGATGCCAGTGGTGACACCATGGGCCATGAACACTGTGCTACAAGTCCTGAGATGTGTGCCTTGTAGTTGTTGTTTTTAAACTTTTTTACCTTGGAAGGGAAAGAAACTACAATCCCAAAGTCAAGTTGCTAGATCTGGGTTGGGAAACATCTGGAGATGTTCGGGGTAAAGCCTGAGGAGGGTGGGGTTTGGGGAGGGGAGGGGAGGGACCTCAGCGGGATATAATGCCATAGAACCCATCTTCCAAAGCGGCCATTTTCTTCTGGGGAACTGATCTTGGTCATCTGGAGATCAAATGTTATAGTGGGAGAGCTCCAAGTGCCCCCTGGAGATTGGCAACCCTACTCCCATGAGACTATGCTTTAAAATGCACATGTACGAATTGATCTGGATAGCCATTTGGTGAGTTTAAGTGTCATAGTGTGGTCAGACCAGGATCTTGGAGACCCAGGGTTGAATCCCCACTTCTGCAGTGGAAGCTTCCTGGGTGACTTTGGGCCACTCACACTCTCTGAGCCTAACCTCCCTCACAGGTTTGTTGCGGGGATAAAATAGAAGAGAAGGGGAGAACAATGTAAATCACTCCGAGTCCCCATTTGGGGGAAAGGTGGGCTGTAAATTAAGTAAACAAAATAAAATATCTAATAGTAAAGGGCACAGACGCCAAGGAAATGTGTCCACCTAATGTGGAATGCCTTTTTGTTTTCCTTTTAACAATGTACCTTTTAAGACTCGATGGCTGGGAGATGGCCCTGCAGAACACCAAAAAAGAAAGGGGTGGAAATCCAAGTTATTTGAGCTGTTCAGATGCAGACCAACAGCCTCTCAAAGTTTGACTCCTGCGATCACTCTGTGAGAGGAGGACACAAACCAAATGGGTTAGCAACCGAGTATCCATGCTCAGAACTATTAGCCAGTGTATTGATGCAGTGCAGTTGCTCTGAATATTCCTCCATTGTTCTAGTCCACAATCCTGCGTCCAGGAGCCAACCGCACACATAGATACAGCCACTTCCACGGATCGCCAGAAATCACAGATGGTCCCAGGACCACCATTAAGCAACAAGCCGATGAAACTGCATTATACTGAGACCAATGTTCCCTCTAAGCTATGGAGTCCTGTGAGCAAAAATTCTACTTTGTGAGCTACTGGCATTAAAGTTGTGAGCAAGCGATTCGGCTACTGTGTAAATTAGTTTGCTCTGGAGCCATCCTTCCTGAGCTAAGAGAAAAATCTGTGAGCCGGAGGTTAAAAAACTGTGAGCTAGCTCACACTAACTCAGCTTAGAAGGAACACTGACTGAGACCCAATAGTCTGTTGTGGTCTCTGCTGTGACCAGCAGCAGGTCTCCGGTAGAGGTCTTTCACATCACCTACTGCCAGATCCTTTAAAACAGGAGATGCTGGGGATTGAACTTGGGACCTTCTGTACACTAATGCGATGATCTACCCCCTAAGCAGTCCCGTGGCTACAGTAGGGCATCTTGGGGCCTGGCCCACCAACGTACTGCCAAGGCCCCCCCCCCCCCGACTTACCATCCAGCTCAGGCCCCGTGATTTCCATTTTTTTTATTTTATATGTGTTGCTCCCTTGAGGTGTGTGCAGGGTGCCCTCTGACTTATTTAACCCCCCCCCCCCCCCGTTAAAAAAAAAATGGGGGGGAGGGGGGTCTCGCTAGACTGTCAGGAGCGGCCAATCCTGCAATTTTAAGCAACAGCTCCACCCAGCTGGGAAAAGGAAGGCACTGAGTTTGACAACTAAGCCTGCAAATCCAGGAGCTCTTCTTTTTGTCCGTCCACATCAGCCATGCAAGCAGGTACTTGAAAAGATGAAATGAGCCCAGATGAATGACTCCAAAGGGAGGCACAGCATCCAGGTTTGGGGGAAGCGCAAGAAGAGTGAGCAGAAGCGTGTCAGAATCCTAGGTGCGAGAAATAATGAGTGTGAACTTTAGAAGCATCGCAAGGGGGGAGGAAGGTAAATTGTGCCTTATGAGATTTGGCCATTGAATACATAACACAGAGAGAAAGAGACAGCTGCAAGGTTATGAGCTTGAGCCGGGGAGTGATCTATCGCAGGAATGTGGAGGAGGAGGAGAGGTGAGGTGAGTTTTCCCAAAGCTGAGAAGCAGGAAATCACGAAAGAGGCAACCGAGATTCTGAGGAAGGAGTCAGGGCTGGGTTCTAGTTGGGTGTTTGCGCAGCAAACTTGAATGACCTGGCATGGAGATGCAGTGAAGTTTGGTGCCCCCACGCTAGCGACGGGCCTGCCCCTGTATGATCCTGCCACTGTGTGTTGGGATCAGTCTTGTGTGTCAATCAGCAAAGCACCAAGGAAGACCCAGCGTAGGGTGGTGGCAAGAGGGTTGACCAAGGATCTGCAAGACCCAGTTTTAGATCTCCATTCTTGCCATGGAAGCTTACTGGAGTGACCTGGGGCCAGTCACACACTCTCCACCTAACCGACCTCGCAGGGTGGTTGTGAGGATCAAATGGAGGAGAGGGAAACGATGCAAGCCGCTTTGTGTCTCCATGGGGGGGGGAAGGTAGGGTATAAAGGAAACAAATAGGTAAAATAAGACATTTGTAGTCTTTCGTGCTGGGCCTGTGGCCAACCTGCCCCGTGCTTCTGTGCTTTCTGCCCTGCCAGTGCCCCACCGGCCTCAGCCCCATGAAAGATGGCACGGGCTGCTACGATCGCCACATCGGTGTGGACTGCTCCGATGGATTCAACGGCGGCTGCGAGCAGCTCTGCCTGCAGCAGATGGTGCCTCTCCCCGAAGACGCGACTCTCTATAATATTCTTATGTTCTGTGGGTGAGTGCCAGTGCTGGGGAACGGAGCATCCTTTGTTGAACCTTGCTTTGGTTAGGCAACAGTCCCATCTTGCGTCATTCTCCCAGATATCTACATCCTTGGAACGGGCTAACTCCTCTGGGGCTACATAGTCCAGGACCCTAAGCCTTGCTTCTCTTTGCACCCGTCTTCACCCACGGTGGTCCTCCACTGCACAGCACTTTCTTCTGCTGCCGGGCGCTTTTCGGCCTGTCGGAAGACGGTGGTTTTGCACGGACAGACGCTCCTTGTGCCAGGGGAATTCATTCCACGGTGGGAAACCACCTCCACCCCGTGAAGGGCATGATCAGCATCAGCCTACTCTGCGGTGGGGCAGCTGCCAGGGGTCAGGGCTACTGGTGGGGCCCACCGCTGCTGACCTCTCACTGGTGCGCTTTCCCCCCCACCCAGGGCTTTTTTTTGTAGAAAAAGCCCAGCAGGAACTCATTAGCATACTAGGCCACACCCAACAGCAGAAACTATTAGCATATTAGGCCACACCCCTGACAGCACAGCTCATTAGCATATTAGGCCACACCCCACATGTTGCCAGAAGTGTGGTCATCCAGCCACATCAACCTTTTGCTTCTTATTCTGTTTACTTTGTTGTCAAAACCCTGGGCTTTTTTTGTAGCAGGAACTCCTTTGCATGCTAGGCCACATACCTCTAATGTAGCCAATCCTAATGAGTGTCTGCTGTTAGGTGTGGCCTATTATGCTAATGAGTTCCGGCGTGGCCAACTCAGGAGCCAGCCGGAACTCCGTTCCTGTGCGTTCCTGCCCAAAAAATAGCCCTGCCCCCACTTACTCCCTTGGGAGTGCTCCAACACCCACCTTCCTGGCTGCACGTGCTGCCCAGCAGTCCTGGGGAAGTGTTACAGCAGTGCTCAGTAGCAGTTCCCCTGGCAGCCATGGTGGAGTCGCTCCTAGCTGGGTGTATCACCCAGTGTTTTAGGGGGGAAAGGGATGTGGGCCGTACAGGTGGCTGTGAGTGAAGGTCGTGGGGAGACTCACAAGCAGGTGGGGAAGGACACAGGGTGGGTGGGTGGGAAGGGTGGTGTGAGCGGGGGCATGGGATGGTAGGCAGAGGAGCCTCCAGGATCGAATGAGATCGGGCTAGCCCTGTCTACCCCAGTCAGGGCGCTGTCTACTTGGAAGTAAAGCCCATTTGAATAAAGGTCCGGTCCCTTCAATTTCCCTTTCATCCCACCTCTCTTAGGCTAGTCAGTTACTTCCTGTTTCAATTATGTCCCGTTTCCTGGCGTGCTGGTCTCTCTGGCACTCAGGAATGCATGCTTGATTGACAGCTCTTGTGTGGAGAGAAGGGGGCTGTAAATACTCTTTATTTCATTATTTATTGTCCTTATAATGCTAATAATCATTAAAAAGATGGCTTCTAACCGTCATTGACTTGAGTTGCTGTAAAGTTAAAAGAAAAGGAAAACTCACAAGCCCCCTCCCTCACCCCCAGCCAGAGCGGATAGTCAAAGCACTTCTTAGGGAATCGCTGGAGAGAACCTGAGAAAGCATGAAGTAATTAATCAAATGAAAAAAGAAAAAAAGATTTAAATATTTTTAAAGGGAGAATCGACCTGGGAAGACTCAGTAGTGCTTTGACTGTATGTACATGATGTTCTGGCACTCAGGTTGCCAAGTCTGGCCGACAAGCTGGCAGGGGACTTAGCAGGAGGCTCTGGGAGAGGGGAGGGAAGAAGTGTGACATTCCCATGTCCCCTCCAGGTGACGTGTGCATGCTGGGGACGTCAGGTGCGACATGCATAGATCACCCAGAAATGCCGTACGCATGTTGGTGACATTGGGGGGCAACACTCTGGGTTTTGGGCAAAACACTGTGGTTTGAAGCTAATTCTCCCATAGAGTTTGGCCCTAAAGACAGAGCGTGCCCCCCCCCCAACATCACCAAGCATGCCTATGTCACTTCCATGTGAAGTAGGCATGTTGCTTTGGGGGGGATAATTCCTCAGCAGAGAGGAGCGCCCCGTGGCCACTTCCCCCCCCTTCTGATAGCACTGAAGCAGGGAGTGGGGTTCCAAACCGGGGGATCCCCCACCCCCAACTGGGGAATGGCCATCCTATCTGGCACCACAGTCATGTTTCAAGTTTAAAAAAGAAAATCATCCACAAGGTCATTAAAAAACGAGAGAAAAGCAACACAAAATTAGTGGAATGCGGTGTGTATTATCCAGTGTCATCTGGATGGCCCGTAAAAATGAGCAAACGAGCCAGTGCAGTTGCAGATTAAAGGGATGGTGTGGGAGAGCTCAGAGTTTTGCAGGAAACAGCCACCTCAGCAAAAACAGTCCAGTCGTTTCTGTATGAAACTTTTCCCGGTGTTCGATTTTAGCCCTGGGAGTTGGCTGCAGCAGCCCAGAGGGGCTTCCTCTTCTAGTAGGCTCGCTCCTGCGTAATGGAGAGCGCTGATTTCCACACTCTGCCCTGGGGAACCCTAGAGCTGCTTGGAAGCCGACGGGCAATTTCTCAGTTAGTAGATTATTAACGGCAGAGGAGTTTCCCAGCAAATCAGCTTGCTCCGCACGGCCACTCTTCCTCGTGCCTGTGCGGTTGCGAGGGAGTTTGGGGTACATCCTGGGGGCGCTGTCAGTTCCCTTGAGGCAATGGTGAGCTCCAACCATAAGACTGCAACATTCATTCATTCATTCATTCATTCATTCATTCATTCATTCATTCATACAAATTTATACCCCATCCTCCCAGCCAGGGCCGGCTCAGGGCGGCTTACATAAAATCAGTAGAGAACATTTAAAATAACACAATAAATCAATTAAAACAGTATTAAAACCAGATTACAATTCCATGATACCATAGGAAGTGTTAGATTTGCTGTTATAAAGTTTGTGATGGCTACCATCGACTCTCACTTCCCAAGCCGGCTCGCAGGTCTTCTATAGTTGTCTTTCGGTGTCTTTCCAACGGCTGGCACAAGCTGTTGATATAAGTCCCAGCAGCAGGAGGGCTTCTTGTCCTAGTTGTTAAAAGGTGGTGGTGGCTCCTCTGTGGACAAGTCCATGAGGAAAGGATTCCCTAAAGGATGAAAGTTTGAGTAGCACCGAGTGGGCTGCCCAAAATTCCCTTTTCTCCCTTCCCACATGCTGAATGGCCCGATTTCCATTTCTAAGGGTGCCAAAGAGGTCCCGTGTCTTTTGCAGCTGTGAGGCAGGAAGAAGTTAAGTACATGGGGGTTGTTTTTCTTTCTCCACTTTGCTCTTTGGAACGTGCAGGAGCCTCCTTTGAGGCCGAGCATCGGCTTCCTTGTCAGGCCGCATGGCGAGCCATAACAGTTTTCCTTTGGCAGGTGCATCGAAGATTACAAACTTGGCGTGGACGGGCGATCGTGCCAGTTAATCTCCGAGTCCTGTCCAGAGGGTGGGGATTGCGAAGAGAGCCGGGAGCTGCCGATGAATCAAACTCTCTTCGGGGAGATGTTTTATGGTTACAACAATCAAACCCACGAGGTGGCACCTGGGCAGGTGCTGAAGGGGACGTTCAGGTGATGGATCTATCAGAACAAGGCTGTCCTTTCCCCTCGTTTTCCAAACCACTGTTTGTTTATGATATGTACAGAGTACTTGGTGTACGTGTTGTGTTAATGGCAGAAGTAAAATAGTCAATGCCTTGCCCCAATTATTATTTTTCTGAATTGTCACAATTATATTCTGAATTGTCACAATGGAGAGAGAAAAGGGGAATGGGAGAGGCTGGGGTAATGAGAGAAGAATATGGGCAACTTTGATTTACACAGACTTGTGGAGAATTCTGATTTTTCTCTTGCCTCCTTTCCTCAGAGGGGTGTGTTTTTCCTCAGGATGTATGAGTCGGGGACATTTAGGCTTTGGAGACTGATTGGAGAAAACTAATTAGGGCAAACTTCATCACAGTGGGTGACAGAAGGCTCAGTATTATGGTTTATTCCATGTTTTATTTTAAAACATTTTTTTTTCTTTTACAAATGCAGCCTCCTGGATGGCTTTATCGAGAAGAATGGTGTGGAGTGTGAGAGAGAAACGTTATCCCTTCTTCCTGCTCTGGCGGGGAGGGCGGGGTATAAATTTAATAAATAAATAAATTTTCTTCCTGGAAAACTCTACCCCTGAGCTCTGCTGTAGAAAAAAAAGATGGGTACCAATGTTCCCTCTAAGCTGTGGAGTCTTGTGAGCAAACATTCTACTTTGTGAGCTACCGGCATGAAAGTTGTGAGCCAGCGATTTGGCTGCTGCATACATTAGTTTGCCCTGGAGCCGTCCTTCCGGAGCCAAGGCAAAAATGTGTGAACCAGAGGCTAAAAAACAGCGAGCTAGCTCACACTAACTAAGCTTAGCGGGAACCCTGATGGGTACCAATAAATTTTCCACAGTGGGAGCAAAAACAGCTTAGAAGCGGCTTTTTCAGGAAGAAAGTGGTGGGGGGGAAAGGAGTTAAAGCCCCCCCACACACACACACGCACACACTCCATTCTTTCTGGCGGAGCAATCCTGGAGGCTGCATTTGCCAAAGGGGGGGAAATGGTATACAATAAACATGGGGGAAAACATGGTCTGCTGCAGATGGCTGACGAAAAATGCGAATGCAGGACAAAAAATTCCAAGTCAGTGCTTTCAGCACAAAGATGTGTTTATTTATTTGGAACATCTATATGCCACCTCTTCAGAGACCTGCTTGGGGCAGCTCAGAAGATTTAAACCGACAAATAGCAACGCCATAAAAGCAACAGTCATAAAAACGATCAGTATTAAAACAACCCATAAGGTGGCAAACCGTAAAAGAAGTGGGGAAGAAACACTTAGCTGTTCCTGCTGCCTTTCCGAGGCAACTCCCCCAGTGGCGTTCTAGATGCAAGGGAAAGCGATGAGAAGGTGAGGTTTGTCGCAGGAAAGTGGCTGCTGAGGAATGGTTATGTCCAGGGGTCATTTTGTAGAGAAAGAGGTGAAGGAGCTCATTAGCATAACTCATTAGCATAACTTATTTACATATGCCACACCCCCTGACATCACCGGAAGTGTGTCAGAAGGCGACACCCACCGCTCAGGCTCCACTGGACTGTTTTGGATTGCTAACTATTGGGGGGGGGGGAACGTGCAGATCTGTCCTTGCAGAGGAGGAGGAGCTTATACTGGAATAAAACTTGGTCTTAAAGGTGCCACTGGACTGTTTTGGACCAGGGAGCTGGGGGAAGGGGGGCTCTGCAACTTACCTGGCTGCTTCTTGCTCTGACTGCGGGCTGCAGGGGGCGGGACTTGTTGCATGTGCCCGCCCCCTGGGCTCTTTACTGCCGGAGCTCCGCTCCTGTGCGCTCCCGCAGGAAATGACCCCTGGTTATGTCGCTACCACAAAAGCACCCTCTCCCAAAGTGGCTTTGCCTCGATGGGGCCCTCATCAAGGTTTGACATGCATGCGTTTCTAAAAGGCTTCCATTGGACGCTTTCACACGCACTAAATAACACACTTTCAATCCACTTCCCATGCACTTTGCGACTGGATTTTACTGTGCGAAATGGCAAAATCCTCTTGCAAGTGTTTGCTGAAGTGGATTGAAATTGCATTATTTGGCATGTCTGAGAGCACCCCTAAAGAAGGCGAGCCACCGTATATCGGTGTGATGGAGAGAAGGGCCAAGGAGCTGTTAGTTCAAGCTGGAGCAGACAGGCATCTTGAACCGCCTCTTCACACATGACCAGGTACACGGGTTGGGTCAGGGTCCTCGTCCTGTGCCAGACACGGCACACAGGCACATGTGAGGCGTGAGCTTTCCTCTCCTTCCGCACGTGTGGCACCCGATTAGGATCCGGTTCCAACCCGTATCCTCCTGTAAGCTCTTTCCAAATGGGTGCTCTGTGTAGACACAAAGGGGATGCCTCCTGAGCTCTGAAATGCCACCTGCTCCAGCGAAATACAGGAAAGCCAGGATGGGAGACTTTGCTTTGGGGAAGAGGTGGTTTGGGGGATGAAGGAGGGAGGCGCTAGGAAACACAGGGGAACCTCGTCGGAGGTCCCTGGCGTATCCCTTTCCCATTTCTCAGAGGCGTAATCCTCTCAACCACCTGTTCATTCTCTACATCTGTAGGAGTCAGAAGGCCAGGACAGAGCTGTGGCATGGGCCTTACAGCCAGAATGACGATAATTGTGCGTTGTCAAGGTGCAGCCGACTCATGGTGACCCCAGGGACCACGGGGCTTTCAAGGCAAAAGATGAGCAGAGGTGGCTGGCCATTGCGTTCCTCTGCACGGACACCCCCATTCTTCCTTGGTGGTCTGTCCATCCAAGTACCAACCCTGCTTAGCTTCCAAGCTCTGTTGAGATCAGGCTAGTCCGGGATGTGAGGCTGCAAGTGACGTGGCTAGAAAGTTGCTTTGGGAGAGATTGCCTTATCCCTGCTCTGTATTTTGAATCCTCCCCTTTTCTCTTTGACATATGCTGACCTTTCTCCCTCTGTCTCCCTCCCTGGGTGCGTTCAGGCAGAATAACTTTGCCCGTGGCTTGGAGCAGCAGCTGCCCGATGGGCTAGTGCTGGCCACTGTCCCGCTTGAGAACCAGTGTCAAGAGGAACTTTCGGAGCCCACTCCTGATCCGGATTTCTTAACTGGTGAGTAGTCCCAGCCAGAACGTGCTCTAGCTTGGGGTCCAG